CGGCCCGCTGCAGCGCTGGGATCCGGGTGGGAGAGAGTGTCTTTGGGACGCGGCTGGGGCCTGCGGCGTCTCCCCTTGGGCACCTGCAGTCTGTTCTCCGGCCCTCCCCCATTAGTTGTTGTTTAGCCAAGCGGCACAGATTTAGCTCTTCTAATCGCCCCTTGTAAATCAATTTCTGCAGCCCCTTGAGCCCAGGCTCCATTTTTCTTCCTCACATTCCAGTTTGCAGGGATGCTGGCATTTGCTCTGAGCAGTCAGCGATGAACAGACACGTAAAGAGGAGGTGCTGAGAGCTCGGTGTGGTTCTGGGAGGAGGTGCTGGGTGGTTAATCCCTGCCCTGACGGTTAGCCCTGCGACTGGTGGTCAGCCGAAGAATGCGTTCGGTTACCTGCGCCGCGTGGACCAGGTGCACCTTTTCCATCCTGGAAAGCTTGATCTCTAGCAGCGGAGAAGTGAGCGTCAGGGGGAGGATTACGAAGCGGAGGGGGCAGCCAGCGGGGAGGGCTGGGGCAGGATTGCCAGGGAGGGGTGCTCCTGGGGACCATCCCTGCCGGCACGTTCTGAGGGGTGCGGCCCTGGCAGGTCTGGGGCTGAGCCTGGTGGTCCCAGAGCGCCGCTGGGCTCGCAGCCCCTTTTGCTGGCTGAGCCAAGGTCTCCTTCCCAGGCAAGCCTTGGGAGACGTTTCAACATGGGCAGTAATATGTGCATGCTGTGTAAAATGCATTAAATTGTCTAACGCGTAGGCCCCTCACTCATGAAATAAATATATAAACTGTATCTAACAAGACAAATATAATGAAGGCATCATAAAAAAGAGGCAGCTCTGGTATAAATTCTTGCTGGTAGAGCTGTATGTCTGAAAGGTGGATTATAGAACTGCCGTTTGGAAGATTGAATGGCCCATAAACATTTTCATATTTCATTAGTCGATTAATGGACGGCTTTTTTCTTTTTTGGGGGGGGAGACACACGACTTTGCTGATTCTAAGCAGAAATTGTAGGAAGCAAATGAAAGCGGCTGATGAAGCCTTTCCGGGGGCCCGTCCTGTTATGGATTGTCCCAATTAATGCCGGTGCTGCTCTCTGTCAGGACGCATCCTGCCTGTCCAGTTACTGTTAATAGATTTCTCATAAGTGGCTGGATTGTAAAAACCTCATAACTCAGTTTAATGCCACCAATAAAATTATCTCTGGACGTCTGGCCTGGATTCCAGTCAGCTCCTTGTCCGTGAGGAGCTGCTGTTCACCCTTTCCTCTCCTGAAGTCAAACATGGTCTTCATCAGCAAACGAAGCAGGGGTTGGCTACAAAAGCACCTTCCCCAGGGGCTGTTTTCCACCCTGAGCACAGGCGTCATTTGCCACACTCTCCCGCAGGCTTTGCTCGGGCGGGGGCTCTGGGGTGGTGATGCGGGGGGCCGTGTCCCCCCCGTTACCTCGCCGCAGGAACCCATGCAGGGGTGCAGCGAGTGCGTGAGCTCTTGGGGGGAAGTCTTCTCGGTGCTGGCTGCCCAGAAAGGGGGGGGTGGCTGCAGCG